CAGATTCCTGCAGTGATGATCAAAAATGGCCCCGTCCAAATTGATGGCTGTGATCAAGAAAAGTTCCATACTGTAAGCACTAGCAATCAGGAAAAGGAGTTTCAAGCGCTTCAAGTTTATTACATGCTAAAATTTGAAATGGACATCTAACATTGGAACCATCATTAAAAAGACAAAACAAAGAATGTTTTTCCTGCATCAACTCAGCAAAACAGGCTGTCCCCAGTGCTGTTGATACAGTTCTGCTGAGGAATTATTGAGTCTGTCATTTGTACTTCTATAACTGTCTGTTTGGTACAGCAACCAAAATAAAAGGCATAGACTTAAACGGATAGTTAGGAGTGCAGAAAAAACAATTGCAACCAGCATGCCTTCTATGAGGACCTGTATATTGCACGAGTCAGAAAGAGGGCTGAGAAAATATCTACAGATCCCTCATATTCTGGACATATATTATTTCAATTCCTTCCCTCAGAATTCACTAAGCTACGCTATGCTATTCCCATTCACAAGAATCTGATCTATTAACATTCAAGGCAAATTGGCACTAGATTAGAGACAATGGAATACAAGGAGGGCCTAATTTAGGTCATTTGTGTGAATGTAGGGACTCCAAATTGATGACACATTTGACCCCCAACCTTGTGCTTAGCTTGGTCATCTCCTATACATACTAGATAAATTAATGCTTTCATTTAGTACAATAGCTTTGGCAATAGGATGGGGAATAAATTCCTGAGAATTTTTGGAAAAGAATTTGAAATTAACCAAGTTTATGTGATGTTGTTGAGCTGCAACATGAAGAAATAATTTGTCCTTTTGACCTTTGAACTTCTTATATGACTTGATTTGCCTGTTTCAGGATGCTAGATTAGAGAGCACTTCACAATGGTCTACCGTTTAACTGTACTCTTTAATCTGTTAGTCTGTTAAACTGTACTCTTTAATCTGTTAGCAATAATATGATTTGTGTACACACTGAATCTAGTTAGAAGAAATATCCAGGTCTAGTTCCAAGCTGGGAGAAAGGCACTGAAGACAAAACGGAGGCTGGAGGCTGATAGGAAAGAGGGTCCATTTATTGATGAAGCAGAACCACCAAGGACTTGTGATTCTGGGGAGCTGACCACATGGAGTTGAGAGTGAGGGGGTTTTATACCTTCTCTTGGGCTTTGCACTTGAACTTCCTGTTCCTGTGCAAGAACATGTATTCTATTGGCTGTTGTCAAACTCCCATGGTTCCATGTACAAATGCTAGGAGTTTGTATGAGCTAAGCTTGGTTGAAGCTTGACTGATGCAATGAAGGGGCTTGTTGGGCAATTCCTATTGTGGTGTAGAAGTTAGCACCAACCCCTCTCCTAGAAAAATGAAATATTCTAGGAAATATTAAAAAGGCAGAATATTTCCCCTAAAAGAGAAATAGAAATCTTAAGACAAACTCAGCCCCAACTCCCTGCCCCCAGCAGGTTATTTGCAAGACAAAAGGCTGGGACAGCTTATCTACAACACAAAAGCCATGGCCCTCAGTACATGATAGGATCAGCCCTGACTCAAGATCCAAACCAGGACAAAGCCATTAAGCCATAATAGGAATTGCCCAAAGCCCCCTCATTACTTCATCACCCAGCAAGATTCAATCAGGCCTGGGACACAGAGAGTCTACAAAGTTAGCTAAGACCCCTGCTCCCTGGGAGTCTAACAGCCAATGGGATACTGAAAACTCTAAGGCAGAGCCCAAGAGAATGTATAAATATATCCCTTTCTCCACTCCATGCGCTCTTTTTGCCCAGGCCCCCAAAAAACCCCATGTGGTCTTGTCCGCCATTAAACCAACTTTCCAAGTAGTCTCCATGTTTCCAGTGTCTTCTCACTTGGAACTGAACCCAGATGGACATTTCTTCCAACAGTGGCTGAGAGCTAACCCTACCTTTGTTCTGAAAGCCAAATCTGGCTCTAGATTCTGCCTTAGTTTACCTTTCCAATAAGCAACTGAATCGGAAGATCATTTAAAAGCAGTTTATTAGGGTACCCTGATAAAGTGGGTCTCTCTATGAAAAAGGAAGAGAGAGAACCTCGAGCCCCATGTTTCCCTTCTTTTTATAGTTAACACAACAAAGAAAATGCAAGAGGAAAGTTGATTGGACAGAATAAAAATAACCTCCCCTTTCCATAGGAAATTGGTTACATGTAATCAAACATATTACATATTTGTATCCCATAATATCACACGTTAGTTAAAATGGGGTCTGACTCAGAAGAGGCGTAATTGTAAGGAAAATGTTTGTTTAGTGTTCACAAAAGAGATAAGTCAGATCCCAAGTTGTATTAACAAATTCTTCTTATCTAGAGCAGTGGTGGGTTGCTACTGGTTCTCCCCGGTTCTTGCTAACTGGTAGTGGAAATTTTGAGTAGTTCGAAGAACCGGTAAATACCACCTATGCCTGGCCCCACCTCCAATCTATTCGCTGCCTCCCGAGTCCCAGCTGATTGGCTAGAAGGAAAAAATCAGGGCTCACTTGACAAAGAGGAAGAAAAAAAAAACAAGACACTGTAGCTTTAAATTGAGACGCCAAGAAGCCTCCCAACTGATTGGCTAGAACCGATCCGCTCCTTGTAAACCGCTCAGTGGTGGTAGATTGGCAATTGAGGCAGGGGTGAAATGCTCCCGGTCAGACCGGATCATCCGATCCGGTAGCAATGGAGACGGGTGGTTCAGAGAACCGGTAGCAAAAATCCTGCCCCCCCCCACATGCCCGGCTGAGCCGCGCGATCATCAGAGGCTTTTTAAAATATTTTTAAAAGCATTTTTTTCTACAACCTCTTTGGCAGAAAATGCTTTTAAAAGTAAAAAAAAAAAGCCTCTGATGATCGCATGACTCAGCTGGGATCGTCAGAGGCTTTTAAAAGCATTTTTTTACAATCTCTTTGCTGAAGAGATTGTAGAAAAAATGGTTTTAAAATTAAAAAAAAAAAGTTGCCATGCCCACCCAGTCACATTACCTCCAAGCCACGCCCACAGAACCTGTAGTAACAAATTTTAGATTTCACCACTGAATTGAAAGCAGCCTGAAACTGCTTTCAGGCACCAAGCTGCCTGAAAGCGGTTTCCGATGCTGTCGATGGTGGCAGAGTGGCAAAAATCTGTTTAAACTCGTGCAGCAGCACTTCAAAGGGCCGCCCTACAGCTGATCAGTGGTAAAAGGCAGTGTGGTGGTAGACCAGTGCGCTCCAAAAACAAATGGGTAGACTGGTACAGCTCTGCAGTTAAAAGCCTAGTAGACTAGGACCTCTGTTAAATCCTAAAGAATTGTTTGTCACATGACCATCAAACCATGCCCACAAAATAAGCCATGCCCACAGAACCGGTAGTAAAAATTTTTAGAACCTACCCCTGATCTAGAGGTAGTCTCCAGCTTGTTTATCAGTTTAGGAACGTTAAAAGCTAATAAATCTGAACATTACTTTAAAAGAGAGAATATCAATCAGTTTAAAATACAAGGTAACTATGTTAGTTAACAAATTACAAAACCCATGTTATTTGCTTCTAAAAAAACATGTTTCTCCATTTCTCATCCAGGGAAATACAATATTCTGCCTTTTTTTAAAAAAATATTTCTCAAAATATTTCGTTCTTCTAGGAGAGGGGTGGGTGCTAACTTTCTACAGCTTATAGTTTTGCATTTTATCTGAACTCAACAATGTGATTATTCAATAAACAATAAACAACAATGTGATTATTCAATAAACTGTAGGAAGAAATATCCTTCTGGATTCAGCTCCAAGTGGGGAAAAAGACACTGGAAACATGGAGACTGCTTGGAAAGATGGTTTAATGGTGGACAGGATCACATGGTTTGAGTTCCTGAACAGAAAAGGTCAAGATGCGAGTTCCCGGGTTTTATGTCCTCTCTGGCTTTAAACTTCCCGGGGCCTCGAAAGAGTATCCTGATGGTCGTCAGACTCCCAGGAGATGGGGGGTCTTAGCTAGCCTTGCTGGCTGATGTAATCTTCCCAGGTACCATGTGGTGAGTTTCTGTTGCTAGATGGGTCCTATTGTGTTAGTTTCTGTTGCTAGATGGGTCCTATTGTGTTGCAGATGATGGTCCATTGACAAAGGGGGGGGCAGGAAGGTGGGAGCTGCTTTGTCTTTAAAACATGCTTCTCCATTTCTCATACAGGGAAACATAATATTCTGCCTTTTTAATATTTCCTAAAATATTTAATTCTTCTAAGAAAGGGGTAGGTGCTAACTTCCTACAAAACAATAGGTCATGCTAACCATTAATTAATTTACCATGGTTTCTGACAACAAATCAGAAGGACCCACTTTTTACTTACTGCAGATACCACGACTGGATTCAAGGAAGCAATGGTAGGATTAGAATATTATTCTTGATTTAATTTCCTTTACTATTATGTTTAGTATCATAATTTATTTTACCTTCATTCTCTTATATAATAATTTTTCTCGGTTTAAAAATTACAATTTGATACTCATTTGAGAGCAGTAGATTGCACATCTTCACATAACATTCCATAAATCATGGTTTGCAATCCCACTAACTGGATTATCAATGATTAGGTGTAAGAGGCAAAATTTGATGAATCTACTTAACGACATAAATTTAATGAAAGAAATTGCAGGTAGGTATTGAGAGACATTAAACAAAAGTTTTGGTCATCAAAGGTTAACTTTAAGGAGGAACTTTTGTATTTTAGTTTGTGAGTTTCTGCAAGTGGGGAGTTTCCTGAATGACCTAACTCCCTCTTTAAAACAAAACGGGATATTTGCACTAGAAAAGAATGCATAGTTATCCTGATGATACTAATTCAAGAAATAATTGCTGAAATGCTGCTAATTAAAAAATATCCAGTTTTGGCAAACAAGATAACTTGTGCGAATTTTATCTCTACCATTCTTTTATCTATCGTCACAAGTGGCGATTTCTTTTTATTCCCGGAAGTATATATATCTATGATCCTGTAAGTGACGTAAAAGTGTTCGAGTTGATTAGGGAGAAGCAAAGATGGCGGCGGCTGGAGGTGGCGGGGATTTGGACGCAGGAGGCCACGGCGACGCAGATGTCAACCACCCTGGCCTGGAGGGCGAGGCGGGGCCAGACTCGGAGCCTGACTCGGAGGTGTTTTCGTGCGTGGCCCACTGCTCCGACCTCGCCTGCCGCCAGAACGAACAGCGGCGGTTAGGCCTCTTCTGTGACGTCACGCTAGCCTTCAGTGGCGGCAGCAATGAGGAGGAGGAGGAGGAAGAGGAGGGGGGAGTGGGCGGGGCCTCCTCCGGCTCCGACCCCCCGCCGCGAGAGTTCCGGGCGCACCGCTCGGTCCTGGCAGCGGCCACCGAATACTTCGCTCCTCTCCTTCTGGGCGACTTCGCGGAGTCCCGCTCGGGGCGGGTAGAGTTACGCAAATGGAGTTCGGGAGCGGGACCAGACCCGGAGACGATCGAGGCGGTCATCAGCTTCATGTACACGGGGACGGTTCGCGTCAGTCCTGGCAACGTGCACGAGGTCCTGGAGTTGGCTGACAGGTGAGGCGGGGAGGAGGAACGAGGCGTCGGGGGATAAATCGGACGCCAACCGACTGATGCGTGTCGGCCGGAAGTTTTCCTGAGTTCTGACGGGTGAAGGTATCTTAACCCGAGGGAGTTCTTAGGAAAGGCAACCAAGGATGGTCCTTCTGTGCCTCCTTCCCTGGAACTGCGAAAATTGATGTGGGGTTCCAGTGTAACCCAGTGGTGGCTTTAGTTGGAGTAGACTAATTTGCCTGAAGGACCAGAGGTCTGGCTTGCTATAAGGCATATCAAGAAGTATAGAAATACACCGAATGGCAGCATTGAACATGGACCTTACCAAGGTGAACATTCATATGGCAACATTTCTCCCAGTGCAGTTTCTGAATTACTTGAGTTACAGCATGAAGGGGGACTGCTGGACGCTTAAAGACAAGTTCAGCTCTGGCACCTTTTAAAAAAAGACAGTGGCACTGGAGATTTTTGAATGTCAGTTTAGTAGAAAGCAAAATACAAGTTATTATCTATCTAATAATCTCTGGTGGCATTTCTAAATTGCCTTTTTGTTTTGCAGGTTCTTACTAATACGTCTAAAAGAGTTCTGTGGGGAATTCCTCAAGAAAAAACTGAGTCTCTCCAACTCTGTAGCCATTCACAGCTTAGCTCATATGTACTCTTTGAACCAACTGGCTTTAAAAGCCGCTGAGATGATCAGGAGGAACTTCTACAAAGTCATCGAAGATGAAGAGTTCTATACTTTGCCATTTCACCTTATTAGGGACTGGCTTTCAGATTCAGAAATCACAGTCGATGCAGAAGAGATTCTCTTTGAAATGGTTTTAAAGTGGGTCAAGAGAAATCCTGACGAAAGAGAAAAGTACTTTGGAGAGCTCTTTAAGCTTCTCCGACTATCACAAATTAAAGCAACCTATTTGACTCGGCATGTTAAATCTGAAAAGCTGGTATCAAGCAATGAAGCATGCCTCAAACTTGTGTTGGAAGCAGTGGAAAGCCATGCTCTCAAGGGTGAAAATTTTCAGCTGGGTACACTCCAGCAAGTTAACTCCCCCATCTCATCTCTGCCTCGTTTTGGCCAAAACATGGATGTTATCATGGTCATTGGTGGTGTGTCTGAGGGAGGTGATTACTTGAGTGAGTGTGTGGGGTACTTTATTGATGAAGATAGATGGGTGAATTTACCACACACACACAATCACCTTGATGGACATGCTGTGGTAGTAACCGAATCCTACCTTTATGTGGCAGGTTCCATGGAGCCTGGCTTTGCCAAGACCATGGAAAGATATAACCCAAGTAGAAATGTTTGGGAGCAGGTTTCCAATCTGATAACCAGGAAGCATTCTTTTGGACTTACTGAGGTAAAGGGAAACCTGTACAGTATTGGTGGCCATGGGAATTTTATCCCTGGTTTTAAAGATGTAGCTGTCTACAACCCTGATCAAGATAAGTGGCACAACTTGGAGTCTGCACCAAAGATACTCCGGGATGTTAAAGTGATTACAATAGACAACAGGTTTGTTTACATGGCAGCTCGCACACCAGTTGACGGAGATAATGAAGATGGCTTAAGGTCTGTCATTATTCGTTATGATGCAGACACACGACAGTGGCGAGATTGTGAGTCTCTGCCACTCCTTGACAACTATTGCTGCTTCCAAAAGGTTGTGGGGAACACCAACTTTTACCACACCGCTTCATGTTGTCCCAGAAGCTATCCTCTAGATCATGAAGAGGCCAAGAGAAAAATCTCTAACCAAGTATCTGATGACATTCTGGAAAGCTTACCATCAGAGGTTCTTAGCATTGAAGGGGCGGCTATCTGCTATTATAAAGATGATATCTTCATCATAGGTGGATGGAAGAACAGTGATGATACTGATAAACAGTACAGAAAAGAGGCCTACCGCTACTGTGCTGAGAAGCAGCGTTGGCTGTTACTTCCTCCTATGCCTCAGCCTCGCTGCCGTGCTACAGCATGTCATGTGAGAATCCCCTTTCGGTCCTTACATGGTACCCAGAAATATCCAATGCCGCAAAACCTAATGTGGCAGAAGGACCGGATCCGGCAAATGCAGGAGATACACCGACATTCCTTAAGTTTACGGAGGATGCCTCGGTCTCAGATAGAATGCTAGCTTGAATAAATGATATCAGAAATACATGTCTGTAATTGTGATGCCTGGCATGGACTAATAGCCACCAAACTGCTTAAGCATTGGAGACCAAGCTTTCTTGGTGTTGAATTTGGTCTGGATTACAAGCACCACATGGAAATTTGGTGTATATTAGCCATAAATGTGAAGGTAAGCAGACATATAAAATGCTTAGAGCCTGTTGGTTTCTCCATAGATGTGATCCAGATGAAGAATCCAACAAAATAATCATTTTTGCACTTTGTGAATGTGTTCAGGTAATATTAAAAATTCAGCACAACCATCTTTTTCCCTTACATTTTTTGTATTAGGCTTGGGGTTTTTTTGGGGGGTCATCTCATCTCAGTTTAAGCATTATACACAGGTCATGTGAAGTATTTCAGTTTGTTCTAACGTGCTGATATATATGTAATGGACCATTTCACGATTTTCTTAAGTTTTTTTGCAGAGGCATTTCTCTTCTGTTACAAATTTCTCTCTGATTTGGAGATGTAAAATAGCTAAAATAAAAACTCTTCTAAGAGGAATAAAGCACAAACTTTCTAAGCACTTCAAAATGTTCTGTGATAATAAGTATCTTACAGTTTTATTTATCTAAAAGCGCTTGAGATTCTTAAAATGTATTAGTTATAAATTTTGCTAGTTGAACCATTCACTATTATGTAATGAAATATGTCTGAATTCCTTAAGAACTTCACTATAATTTTTAGTGATTACTGTTCTTCCTTTCAGTTAGCCCCACTTGTTTTACATTAATTTTTTTCAGTTAAGAATTGTGGCCTTAAAAAATGAATGAAAAGACCAAAAAAATCATAATTTATAATTGAAGCAATTGGGAATTCATTATGCAGGTTAAAATTGTATAAACCTGGATATCGATATCTGGGTAAGTAAATTTCAGTACCATCTTATCTATCTTTGACAATCAAATCCATCTGTCTTAATATGATTACCATTCTTTGTGTGGACAATACAGGATGCAAAGCTGTTCAATTGGAAAATTTGCTTGAATATTCTTGACTTGAGAGTCCACATTGTCCAAGTCTTGTCTTTTGGCAGCATAGAAAATATATTCTCACTCAAATGATTGAGATACTGTAAATTGTTTACTGCTTTCTCTCCAATCCTCTAGCCTAGTTGCATGCAGAATCCTGTTTTGTAGGTTCTGCTAGTTTTATGGAAGATACAGAATATATTCAGATTATACAAATATATATTTTATTGGTTCAAGGAATACTGAAGTTTTGGAATGCTGCAGAGTTGTTCAGGCAGACAAATTTATATAAAACATTTATGCAATATTTGATGTTAACTTATTAATCCAAGAGAGAATTTAATTTTACTTCATAAATTATTTTCCATTACAGATATAAATACCAAATATGTTAACTCATGAAATCATCCTCCTTTAGGTAGAGCACCTCTTCATCTCCCCTTATGACCCATCTCCCATTATGGGTCATAAATGTGGTAAATAAAGTTGTAGTGATGGCAATATCTAAGACAGTCTCAGGAAAAATCAAGACCTGGTGCATGAGGTCGCCAAATGGTATATAAGTAGAATCCTCAAATATAGAATTTGCTTCTTCTTCATCTATACATATTTTCTGAAAAAGATATCAAACACTTCATCTGCTATTCTCATCTCTCTTGCATTTTTTTCTCTTTTAACAAGTTGGATTTATTGCTGGGAGCACAAAAATGAAACATGAAGATGATATCAGTATGGAAAAGATCTGTATTGGGCAATATTATTATTGATGGTGTTTGATCGGTAAATAACTATGTCTTAAATTTTAGAAGCATTTTTTAAAAAAAATTAAAATAATGTTACAGACTGACCAATACTGTTTTCCAATTTAGCAGGAAACCTAATTCATGTCTGAGATACTGGGGTAAGTGTTGCAATTGCATGGTGTGTAGGTTTTCCTAATTTATCTTTGCCATCCTAATACTACTTTTTATTATTTAGCTGTAAGTGGGTGGGGGCATGGTAAACCTGTGGGCTGCAGTAATTATCCTGATATCAAATTAAAACTAACATGTTCTTGTACCAGAGAGTCACATACATTAATAGTCGTTATGCCGCTTGCCTGCCTTAACAATACTTTATTGTTAACAACCAGCCACTTTTTATGGTGTAGTAGCTGCTTCAGAAAGCAATTTATCTTCTGGAAATCTTTTGACATTCCAAAGGTGAAGAGATCTGAACTCCCTTCTTCAAAACTATTTTCTGAAGTACTAATTAAGAAGTACCCTTCTTAAGAACATTATCTAGCTCCAAGCCTGGACACATTTGTGTGGAAATTTAAATTTTTTTTAAATTTGGGATTACAGCTTTCAGTCTGATGTTTTTCTTAGATATCTCAGTATTCCTTTTAAATATAATTAAAATGGATTAAGTTTACAATATAGCCATGTCCCTATTAAACAATTTGAAATCTTTGTAGTAAGTATAGTTGGCATTCATTGCAAATCTTTGCCAAATCACCACAAATAAGTTAATATATTGATTATACTAATTAAAATGCTTGTTTAAAATGCTTAATAAGTTTAGTCGGGTAAGCTTTGTATTTTATAATCATAAGTCACTTTGGATGTTGCTTGTGAATGAAGTCACAGCTATTCACATGCCATTCTCGGGGATTTCAGTTTGCATGTCAAGTTAAGAGCACTCTATAGCAAGCAATCGCATAATATAATATGTAGCATGAAATGTCAAAGTTTCTTAATGTAGTGTTTGGATATTATGCTATTAACTTGCTCCCAGGTCTGAATGCACAACACTGGCTTGTATGTAAAAATCTCTTAACTTTACTTAGGCATGACAACCTTGACAAACTTGCCTTGTGGCAAAGGGAAATCCTCCAACAGATTTTAAAAATATTTCTGTTTGGAATTATTAACAGATCTAGATTACGTTCCTTGGCATATTTGAGAATTTCAGTTAAATAAATGAGACTTCTGTCTGAGTGAAAATAATTAGAAATACATTTTGTTATTTCCTACAACCAAAGGAATTTGCAGTGGAAATGTTCAGGGACAGACAGATTTCAAAGCTACATAGGGACTTAGGAGACAATAATCTTTTTATAAATTACTAATTTTCTGGTTCCACAGTTTGCCTTTATTTTATGATCCTACTGAAGTATAATAGATCTTTTTATAACAAACAGACATTATTACTGCACAGGCACATATTCTTCAAATATAGTGTTTGATTTCTTGCTTTTTGTTCAAAGCACCTTTAACAACAAAGCTAATTAGATATATCAGTACAATGTTATTAAGATATCGGTAGTCTTCTACTTACAATTATTTGGTTAGCAACCGTTCAACGTTATAACAGCACTGAAAAAAGTGATCTACAACTAGTATGCAGACTTAGAACACTCACAGCTTCCCCATGGTTACCTGATGAAAATTCAGGTGTTTAGTAATTGGCATGGAGCATTCCAGGGTCATGTAATTGCCATTTACCATATATTCTTCCCAGCCAGCTTCCTATAAATAAATATGGGAAGCTGGATTTGCTTAACTGCGTGATTCACTTAACTGCAATGATTCACAAGAACTGTGGCCAAAGAGGTCATAAAATAGAACCCAATTCACTTAACCACTTTGCTTAATAATGGAAAATCTGGTCCCAATTGTGATTGTATATCAAGGACTACCTATAATCCATACAGTTTTGTCACAGATGATACATTGGTTGTTTTCATAACCTCTACAACAAAAAACAGTATCAAAAAGATTTTAAGTTAGTCCCAATTTAACCAAGTGACAGGTAATTTGCAATAGTTGCCATAAAGAATGACGTTATAAGTGCCTTTCATCTTGAACTCACATAGCGCAAATGACACTTCATTTGGGAAGTGTAACTAAGGAGAAGGTGTTCCCCATTTGAAAGAAACTGGTGGTATGGGTTGTTCTGTAGTGTTTTAGAAAAGTATAGAAACAGCTAATTTTAAGCCTAGTTTTCTCTCCCATCAATAGCTTTGCAATTCTAGCAAGGGGTTATATGTTTACAAGGGTTGTAAATCTGTTAATAGTACAAATTGATACTCAGTTGATATGCTAAGCTAAGACTTGTGGATCTCTTAGTTGCAGGTTTGCAGTTGCCAGCTTCTGGCCTCCTCTGAATCTGATTAAAATAGTAAAAAATAAAAAACATAAAATATAAAACTTTTTCCAGTAAAAGAAACCATAAAATATCTTGATTCATTTTTCTGTTGTGATCCCAATTTGCCTTGGGTCTGTTCCTTAATAAATGGGTCAGTTCTCAGAGTGCAATGTAAACTTCAACCCACCCACCCCCATTCAGTAGAAATCACTAGATGCTATGCTGAAATCTAAACTTTATTTTTTTTAAATGCAATTCTTTGTTCTATTACAATTGTGTAACACTAAACACTAATTCAATAAACATTTTATTTCTCTATGTCTTTTGTTCATGTTATTTGTGATTGCAGCAAGATAGAAAATAAATCCTTTAATGCAGGATCCTTTAATTCACATTCCTGCACTCCTAATCTAAAATGGCCCCTTCCAATTAATGGCTTTGATCAAGAAAGGACCATACTAGATAAATAAAGCAAAATACCTTCTTATGGTACAACAGCTTTGGCACTGGGATGGGGAATAAATTCCTGAGAATGTTTAGAAAAGGATTTGAAAAACATCAGCTTTATATATCTGCATGAGCAAAATATCTGCCTTTGAATAATAATGTTGCCAAAGTACAACATGGAGGTTGGCCTTTAATCTTGGAATTTATGTGGCTTGATTTGCCAGTTTAATCATGGTGGATTAGATAAGACAATGGGCTAATTTTTAACTATTATTTAACTTGTTTAGAATATGGTTTGTTCAGTTTAGTGTACTCAGTAAATATAGTCTTAAGTGTAATGATAACTAGCCACATTCTATAAATGAGAAGGATGGACTTTTTTACTGGTTTCACATAAGTGATAAACCAGGTTTGGATTCCAAGAAAGGTGGCAGCATTAGAATTCTTAAATTCTTAAATCAAGAATGCTTGACTTAATTATGAATAGAAGAACAGAATAGAATAGAATAGAATAGAATAGAATAGAATAGAATAGAATAGAATAGAATTCTTTATAGACCAAGTGTGATTGGAAACACAAGGAATTTGTCTTTGGTGCATATGCTCTCAGTGCACATAAAAAGACAAGATACGTTCATCAAGATTCACAAGGCACAACACACACTGACAATCATGGTACAATAAGCATTCAAATCATACTAGGAAACTATCAATATAAATCACAAGGATACAAGCAACAAAGTTACAGTCATGCAGTCACAAGTGGGAGGAGATGGGAGACAGGAACGATGAGAGGCCTAAAGCAATAGTAATGCAGCCTAATGTGAATAGCCTGACAGTGTTGAGGGAATTAGTTGTTTAGCAGAGATGGCATTCAGGAAAAAACTGTTCTTGTGTTTTGTTGTTCTGGTGTGTAGTGCCCTATAGTGTCATTTTGAAGGTAGGAGTTGAAACAGTTTATCTCCAGGGTGTGTGAGGGGTCTGTAAATATTTTCACAGCCCTCTTTTTGACTCCTGCAGTATACAGGACCTCAATGGAAAGCAGGTTGGTAGCAATTGTTTTTTCTGCAGTTCTAAGTATCCCCTGAAGTCTGTGTCTGTCTTGTTGGGTTGCAGAACCAAACCAGACAGTTAGAGAGGTACAGATGACAGACTCAATAATTCCTCTGTAGAACTGTATCAGCAGCTCCTAATTATATTAAATTTCAGTTGCAATTTAGTCTAATTTTAGATAGTTAAAATTATCTCCATTACTTTTTAAAATATTTTTTACTGGCTTTAAAAGTTTATTTTGTTCTCAGAAAGACAATCTGATTTTTAATTTGTGATTTTCTGCAAATATTGATTTGCCAGAGATTAACTTCCTCTTTCTATTTCGGCTAATTAAGAATAAACCTGAACATACAAATTTAAGAAATAATTGGTGAAGTGATCCTAAATAAAGAGAAAGCAGTTTTTGCAAACAAGATAACTTGTGCGAATTTTATCTCTACAATTCTTTTATCTATCGTCGAAAGCGGCGATTTTTTTTATTTCCGGAAGTATAATATATTCATATCTCTATTATCGTGTAAGTGACGTAATTGGATGTAGCTACGGGAAAAGTGTTCGAGTTGATTAGGGAGAAGCAAAGATGGCGGCGGCTGGAGGTGGCGGGGATTTGGACGCAGGAGGCCACGGCGACGCAGATGTCAACCACCCTGGCCTGGAGGGCGAGGCGGGGCCAGACTCGGAGCCTGACTCGGAGGTGTTTTCGTGCGTGGCCCACTGCTCCGACCTCGCCTGCCGCCAGAACGAACAGCGGCGGTTAGGCCTCTTCTGTGACGTCACGCTAGCCTTCAGTGGCGGCAGCAATGAGGAGGAGGAGGAAGAAGAGGAGGGGGGAGTGGGCGGGGCCTCCTCCGGCTCCGACCCCCCGCCGCGAGAGTTCCGGGCGCACCGCTCGGTCCTGGCAGCGGCCACCGAATACTTCGCTCCTCTCCTTCTGGGCGACTTCGCGGAGTCCCGCTCGGGGCGGGTAGAGTTACGCAAATGGAGTTCGGGAGCGGGACCAGACCCGGAGACGATCGAGGCGGTCATCAGCTTCATGTACACGGGGACGGTTCGCGTCAGTCCTGGCAACGTGCACGAGGTCCTGGAGTTGGCTGACAGGTGAGGCGGGGAGGAGGAACGAGGCGTCGGGGGATAAATCGGACGCCAACCGACTGATGCGTGTCGGCCGGAAGTTTTCCTGAGTTCTGACGGGTGAAGGTATCTTAACCCGAGGGAGTTCTTAGGAAAGGCAACCAAGGATGGTCCTTCTGTGCCTCCTTCCCTGGAACTGCGAAAATTGATGTGGGGTTCCAGTGTAACCCAGTGGTGGCTTTAGTTGGAGTAGACTAATTTGCCTGAAGGACCAGAGGTCTGGCTTGCTATAAGGCATATCAAGAAGTATAGAAATACACCGAATGGCAGCATTGAACATGGACCTTACCAAGGTGAACATTCATATGGCAACATTTCTCCCAGTGCAGTTTCTGAATTACTTGAGTTACAGCATGCTGGACGCTTAAAGACAAGTTCAGCTCTGGCACCTTTTAAAAAAAGACAGTGGCACTGGAGATTTTTGAATGTCAGTTTAGTAGAAAGCAAAATACAAGTTATTATCTATCTAATAATCTCTGGTGGCATTTCTAAATTGCCTTTTTGTTTTGCAGGTTCTTACTAATACGTCTAAAAGAGTTCTGTGGGGAATTCCTCAAGAAAAAACTGAGTCTCTCCAACTCTGTAGCCATTCACAGCTTAGCTCATATGTACTCTTTGAACCAACTGGCTTTAAAAGCCGCTGAGATGATCAGGAGGAACTTCTACAAAGTCATCGAAGATGAAGAGTTCTATACTTTGCCATTTCACCTTATTAGGGACTGGCTTTCAGATTCAGAAATCACAGTCGATGCAGAAGAGATTCTCTTTGAAATGGTTTTAAAGTGGGTCAAGAGAAATCCTGACGAAAGAGAAAAGTACTTTGGAGAGCTCTTTAAGCTTCTCCGACTATCACAAATTAAAGCAACCTATTTGACTCGGCATGTTAAATCTGAAAAGCTGGTATCAAGCAATGAAGCATGCCTCAAACTTGTGTTGGAAGCAGTGGAAAGCCATGCTCTCAAGGGTGAAAATTTTCAGCTGGGTACACTCCAGCAAGTTAACTCCCCCATCTCATCTCTGCCTCGTTTTGGCCAAAACATGGATGTTATCATGGTCATTGGTGGTGTGTCTGAGGGAGGTGATTACTTGAGTGAGTGTGTGGGGTACTTTATTGATGAAGATAGATGGGTGAATTTACCACACATACACAATCACCTTGATGGACATGCTGTGGTAGTAACCGAATCCTATCTTTATGTGGCAGGTTCCATGGAGCCTGGCTTTGCCAAGACCATGGAAAGATATAACCCAGGTAGAAATGTTTGGGAGCAGGTTTCCAATCTGATAACCAGGAAGCATTCTTTTGGATTTACTGAGGTAAAGGGAAACCTGTACAGTATTGGTGGCCATGGGAATTTTATCCCTGGCTTTAAAGATGTAGCTGTCTACAACCCTGATCAAGATAAGTGGCACAACTTGGAGTCTGCACCAAAGATACTCCGGGATGTTAAAGTGATTACAATAGACAACAGGTTTGTTTACATGGCAGCTCGCACACCAGTTGATGGAGATAATGAAGATGGCTTAAGGTCTGTCATTATTCGTTATGATGCAGACACACGACAATGGCGAGATTGTGAGTCTCTGCCACTCCTTGACAATTATTGCTGTTTCCAAATGGTTGTGGAGAACACCAATTTTTATCACACCGCTTCATGTTGTCCCAGAAGCTATCCTCTAGACCATGAAGAGGCCAAGAGAAAAATCTCTAACCAAGTATCTGATGACATTCTGGAAAGCTTACCATCAGAGGTTCTTAGCATTGAAGGGGCAGCTATCTGCTATTACAAAGATGATATCTTCATCATAGGTGGATGGAAGAACAGTGATGATATTGATAAGCAGTACAGAAAAGAGGCCTACCGCTACTGTGCTGAGAAGCAGCGTTGGCTGTTACTTCCTCCTATGCCTCAGCCTCGCTGCCGTGCTACAGCCTGTCACGTGAGAATCCCCTTTCGGTCCTTACATGGTACCCAGAAATATCCAATGCCGCAAAACCTAATGTGGCAGAAGGACCGGATCCGGCAGATGCAGGAGATACACCGACATTCCTTAAGTTTACGGAGGATGCCTCGGTCTCAGATCGAATGCTAGCTTGAATAAATGCCATCAGAAATACATGTCTGTAATTGTCATGCCTGGAATGTACTTAAACTGCTTAATCATTGGAGACAAATCTTTCTTGGTGTTAAGTATTTGATCTGGATTACAAGCATCATGTGGAAATTTGGTGTATACTGGCCATAAATATGGAGGTAGGCAGACATGTTAAATCTTACAACCTGTTGGTTTCTCCACAAATATGAGTCCAACAAAATAATTGTTTTTGCACTTTGTGGATGTGTTCAGGTAGTACAAAGATTTAGCACAGCTTTTTCCTTGCAGCTTTTTGTATTGGACTCCCTTTTTGTGTATTGGATCATGTCATCCCACTGTATAACATTTATACAGCTGATGTGAAATATTCTAATTTGTTATAAAATGTTGGTGTATATGGAAAACACCATTTCATGGTTTTCTTAAAAAATATTTTTATCTGCTTTTGCAGAGGTATTTCCTCTTTTTAATCTGCTGTAAATCTGCTTATTTCTGTCAAATTTGAAGATGTGCAGTAGTAAAAAAAGTTTACAAAAGGAATAAAGCACAAACTTTCTAAGAATTTCAACATGTTCCATGATTAAATACTTTAAAATTGTATTTATCTAAACGCACTTGAAGTTGCTAAATGATAAACCTAATAATAATTGTCACTCATATAATGGACATGTTCTGAGTTGTTTGAGGACATCACTATTATTTTTAGTGATGATCATTCTGCTATTTAAGTGCCCCACAAATTTCTCATTAATAAATTTTATTTAATTGGTTCAGAATTGTGGCCTTAAAAAATGAATGAAATGACCAAAAAGATCCTAATTCATAACTAAGGATTTGTGAGTTTCTCATGGAAGAATTAAAGCTGTGTAAACTTGGGTGTTAATATCTGGGCAAGCCTAACTACCATCTGATCTACCATCTGATAATCAAAGCCTCTTGTCTTAAATGATACACCATTCTTTATGTGGACAGTAGGCTCTTCAATTTTGAGTAGAAAATTTGCCTATTACCTGAGTAATTATTCTAGAAATTAAGAACCCAAAACTCCCAGTCCTAATTATATTTATATATTTTATATGGCAGCATATAAAATTTATTCTCACCCAAGATAATTCTTGATATAAATTATTTGCTGTTTTTTGTCTTCTCCACTAGTCTGGTAGTAAGCAGAGTCTTATTTTGTTTAAAGTTCTGATAGTTTAATGGAAGATGCAGAATATGTCCAGATGATACAAATGTATTTTTATTGGACTAAAGAGTACTTAGAACACTACAGAGATGTTTAGGTAGGCAAACTGATATGAAGCATTTATGCAATATTTAATGTATGCTTGTTGATCCAATAGAATATTTTATTTTTAAATTATTTTGCATCACAGGTATATGTCTCAAGGTGTTAAAAATGTAACATGATATTCTTATCTTTTACTCCCTTTTCTAAAAACACGAATACACACACATACACACACACACACACACACACACTATTTATCCTACCTCTTCAAATGATTGAAATAAATTAACCAGAAACCATCTTTAGCTAAGTAGAACATCTTTTAATTTCTTCTCTTTGCTTTGTGTCAGAAATATAAAGATGTAGTGATGACAATGTCTAAGGAAGTTTTAAGAAAAATCTAGATCAGATACATGTGATCATGAAATGATGTGCAAATAGAATCCTCAGAAAAAGAATTGATTTCTTCATCTGAATATTTTCTGAGAAGGATCTAAAATAGTAGTCTTCATCTAGGTCTACTTTTCTCTTAATTTTTTTTCTTTTATCTTTGGGAGAACTAAGAGGAGATAAATAAACAAAATCAGTACGAGAGATGCCTGTATTGGTCAATATTATTATTGATGGTGTTTGATTGCTAAATAACTCTGTCTTAAGTTTTAGCACGCTTTTTAAAATATAAAAAGAATATTACAGACTGACTGATACTGTTTTCCAATTTAGCAGGAAACCTAATTCATGTCTGAGATACTGGGGTAAGTGTTTCAATTGCATGTGTGCAGATTTTCCTAACTTATCTTTGCTCTTCTAATACTTCTATTTATTATATAGCTGTATAGTGGGTGGGGGCAGGGTTAATCTTGGCTGAAGTAATAATCCTAATATCAAATTAAGACTAACATGTTTTTATCCGACAGCGTCACAGTTATTAACAATCAAATTGTGCCGCTTGCCTGCCTTAAAGATACTTTTATCAGTCACTTTTTTATGATATAATAGCTGCTTCAGAAAGCAATTTATCTTCTGGAAATCTTTTGACATTCCAAAGCTGCAAGGTCTAAACTCCCTTCCTCAAAACTAATTAAGTATGCTTCTTAAGAACATAATCTAGTCCCAAGCCTAGACACAGCTGTATGCAAAATTTAAAACTTTAATTGGAAATTATACCTTTTCAATCTGTTATTTTTCTTAGATCTCTCAGTATTCCCTTTAATATAGCTATAGCTGTAGTACTTGAAATTAAGTGTCTTATATTTATTTAGTAATAACACCCTTGACAAAATTTCAATTACCTGAAATGAAACACATTTAAAATCTTGTAGTAGTATATATGGCCTTCATTGCAAAGAAGGCTAAATCACAAATAATCTATTGACTATATTAATTAAAATGCTTGTTCAAAATGCTTGTTTAGTCTGATAAGCTTTGTATAACTTTAGTTATGAGTCACTTTGGTTGTTTGGGAATGCAGTCACTTACAGCTATTTACATACCTTGCTTGAAGATTTCAATTTGTATGAAGAGGTAAGAGCAGTATGGAAAGCAGTCACATTGTATAATATGTAGCATTAAATGTCAGAATTTCTTAATGTCTGGATATTACACTACTAACTTGTTCCTTTGGTCTGAATGCACAACTCTGGTTTGCATGTGGTTTCTTATTCTTATTTAGTCATGACAATCTTGACCAAATTGCCTTGTAGCAAAAGGAACAATTACTAAAATATTTCCATTTAGAATTATTAAGAGATTGAGATTATGTTCCTCAGCATACCTGAGAGTTTCAATTAAATGAATGGGACTTCTGCCTGAGTGAAAATAATTAGAAATATGTTGTGTGAACAAAATATACTTCTAATTATTGCAGTGGAGATGTTCAAAGACAGGCAGACATCAAAGCTAGATAGAGTCTTAAGAGACAATATTTTTTAAGTTGCATTTCTACTGAAAAAATATATGGTTCAACAGTTTGCCTTTTATGATCATAGTTTTTTTTTATAATAAACGAGTATTATTACTAGAGTAATGTTGTCTGAAGGCTATATTCATAGGTACCTGCTCTTCATATATTGGAACTCCTGTTTTGTATTTGTGTGTCTGTTTCACTAAAGCTCAATTTCACAAGAAAAGTAACTACATATATCAGTACAATGTTATTATGGTAATCTGTTATTGCTATAACATCTACCACAAAAACATTAGAAATATGTTATGTTAGTCATTTTTAACAGTATGACAATAAGCCATTTGCCAAGAGTTCCTACAAAAGAATAGTTCTTTTCTATCTTGGACTCACATTGTGCAAATGACGATGTGGGAAGAGTGACTCAGGAGAAGGTGGAGAATTTTCCTCTTTTGCAGGAAACTGGTAGTATCAGCTGTGCTGTAAAATGTTTTGTGAAAGTATAGAAGCAGCAGGTTTTAAACCTAATTTTCTCTCTCATCAATATCTCTTACAATTCTGGGAAAGGATTATGTGTTTACAATGGTTGTAAATCTGTTAATGATATAAATTGATGCCAAGCTGATACTGATGGACCTCTTAACTTACTGGCCTTCTCTAAATTTGAAAAAAAACAGTAAAAATATAACACCTTATAAAATATAAAACTTTTTCTCCTAAGAGTTCATAATGGAAGTTACTCGTAAAATAACTTCCCATTTCATTTTTCGGTTATGATCCTAATTTACGTTTGGTCTGTTCCTCAATAAATGGGTTAGCTCTCAGATTGCAATGCAGAATTTTCACCTGGTTCAGGCAGAATACTCTAGATGCTATGCTGGCCTCTAAACTTTATTTTTTAAAATGCAATTCATTATGTGCTATATTACATTGTGTAACACTAAAGACTAATTCAATAAACATTTTATTTCTCTATATCTTTTGTTCCTCTCTTATTAAAATTTTTCGTGGATATGTTTTCAGCACAAAAGTTACTATCTTTCAATATCAGTTGTTATTACTGAATTGTTAAATAGTGCAAAAAGAAGATTCTTGTCATTTTATTCATATCTCTCTTGTTTCTTATAGAATGAAGACGAACTAATGTAAGGTCAACAAATAGGAATATCTTTATTTCCTAATTCTGAAGCTGTCCATTCTAAAAAACATAGTTTAAAACTATGACAGGAAAAAGCCAAAAGAAAAAGCTTTAAATTAACAATAAGTTCTTGAGATGTAAACAAAATTTTAAAAATCAAAATATTAAAATAAAGGAAGTAATAGTTCCATTCTGTTCAGCAATAATAGGCTTGGAATTTTATACCTGCCTGTTTGCATTCCACTTTTGAAATGTATTTAGCTGTGAAGAAGGGAAGATGATCAAATAGGTGAAAATTAATAAGTAAAAGAAAAGGAATTCTGCCTTGAAAAAAAAAGGAAGTATATACTAGACAACCAATGACCAACTGAATTAACCTTTCAGAGATGTTTCCTTACCATATTCCTCAGTGCTTTCCATAATAGAATGTCTAATGTACTACATGACATTTTGTATTATGTCATAAACTTTTATAATAATTTTTGTTATATAGTTTTATAAATTTGCCATATGTTAATACCCTGGGAGTTACGCATCCCAGATTTGGGACACATTGGACATAATCAAGTAAACAATAACCCAATCAAGGAACCTCTGAGAACATTCCTACCAACGTTGACATGCAAGCTACTGTATATATAAATTAAGAGCAAAGCTCTCCCTTCTAGCATGATCATGTTCCCTAATATTGAAACATCTGCAAGAAAACTATCAAGCTCAGAGAGCAACAAGGATCCTGCAGGCTTTAACATCTATTTTAAAATTGCACAAATTACCAGTTTGCTTCCAGGTCCAATTCAAGATGCTTCTTTTGATCTTTAAATTCCTCTTGGCATGGGATTGGGTAAAATGAGGAACCGCCTCTATCTAAGTACCTCTGCCCATCCCATTAGATTTGGCAGAATAAGTATATTTTGAATCCTGCCTGATTTCAGAGATATTGGTTCCCCTCTCAAGTGAGACTGGCCTCAGCTCCACTATCTTTCCAGAAGTTTCTTAAAACATGGTTGTGCAATCGGGATTGGGAATTACAGGTAGTTCTTGATTTAAAAATTTAGCAACCATTCAAAGTCATGACAGACCTCCCTGGGCATGCCTGTGACCCAGTGCTGAAGTGCCAACATTCAGCCCCTTTCTGCTGTCGTGATCACATTTTGGGCACTGGGCAGCTGGCTTACATCTACGGCAATTTGCAGCATCTCAGTATTTTTTACAATATTTTTGCCAAAAATCAGCATACACTTTGATGTTTTTTGTAAAACTAGCCTATTGTGAATAATGGGTGTGCTTAATAACTGCAGCAAAAAGATGTAAAATTGGGCTGGTCATATAGATTACCTGTTTTACAATCACAGGTTCCATTACCATTATAAGTCAAGGAATATCTGTAACGAGACTGTTTTTAATTGTAGAATGCTCTCTGTTAGCTTTTTGTGATTTTTATTGTACACCAGAGTCACATTCTGTGAGATGGTCTCTATATAATTGTGTTATCTATCAAATCAACCAATCAACCAAGAACTAGCATTAGAGAAAATGTTCTCTCATGTTCATCTGAACTTACCTAAAGTTGCTTTATATCCGATATCTATAACAGGATTGTATTCTATATAGCTAATAGGTATTCAAATTGCAGACGGGATTGAAAAACTATATCAACATCTTTATCTTAAAATTGTCCTGTCAAACAACTTAAGCTCTATGGTCACAGTCCATTTCTGCCACAATCAATGCCAGAAATTATCCATTTTCCACAGTAGTGTCTCCAGAGACAAGACAAGTTGAAAACATAGGTGGATGCATTAAAATAATTAAAATACCAAAATGTTCCAACTGTATTTTAGTGCAGTTAAGTTATTACTAAACAATTGTAAAGTTGTCAAGGACTACAAATGCCTCATGTAACCAGAATCCCCATCTTCAACTATTTACACTTTTTAAAAAAACTTATCTCTGATTCTGTTGGCCTGTCACATATTTTGAGAATATTCCTCCGTCTCCATTGTTGCATACAGATTCATCTGTAACTCTGTCTTAAATGCAGTGTTGAGAAGCTTACAACTGGAGAGATCGTACCAGGGTGGGTTTCAAAACCCGTTGCTACTGGTTCACTCGTGGGTATGCGCGCATGCACAGAAGTGTCCAGGCGGGTAGGTGGAGCATCCCACTGCTACTGTTTTGCCCGACCCGGGGCGAACTGGTAGCAACCCACCACTGGATCCTATGGTAATACCATTAACTAAAAAGTATTTGTGCATTTTTTTCTTATTCATAATCTGGTACAAAAGAAGGAAAAAGTGGTAGAATTTAAAGTAGTAGATGCTGTGTCCACATAACATGCAATTACTATATTGAACTGAATCCAGTTGCTTGATTTTGCCAAAACATTAAACTACTAGTCATACTGATTTGTACAATGACATTATTGAGATATTAGCCACCCATATTTAAATCCAAAATATTTTAGCCCACCATTGCAAAGTACATAAATTTTATAAGCAGGTTTTGTATAAACTCAGGTATTTTTATCCACCATAAAATTTTGTAAAGAATAGAAAAAGCTTTGTATAGAAGTAGCTTTAATGAATTTTATATTTTCACATTTCCATGCAATTTAAAGATGGTTAATTAAAAGACAAAAAGGGATGGGATAATTAGGCAATTAGAGGAAATATCTGCATCTCTTTTGAATTCTGCAGTTTTAGCAAGTATAACTATCAATTCAATGGTTTCTATACACTAAATTTTTTCCTCCTTGCTGTAAACCAAAATGATATTCTGGAGAGAGATTATGTTGTTAAAAGTAAAAATATTATAATGACTCATGGCCATTATATATAAATGAAAGGGCTGAATAAAACTCAAATTAAGCATTGTTTGGCCTGGTATAATATTGTAGAAAAGAATACAATGATTTGTCTTAGCCTATTGTGTAAACCAGGACATCATATATAGCTGTTTACTTTTGTTATGTTCTCATCATACGATAAATAACATATAGTTGTAATTTGGATAGTGAAATGGGAGCCATATAAATTTAATAAATAAATATATTGGCTTATTTAAATTTAAATGTAGACACAGCATGCAACATGAATGCTGCAACATGAATTCAGATATAACACACTAATAAATCTTATATTTGACCAAGTGTTTTATGGCCTTTTATTTTTCACAGGGATGCTAAAGTCCCAGTTGAATTTATTAGTATTTATTGCATATATAATCTACCTTTTTCTGTAAGAGCTTAAGGAGAGTGGGAACATCTTATTGTGTACCTCCTTATTAGAGATAAGATTGATTTTTTTCCTCTACAACAGTGATTCTCTTAAGTTTAGCTAAAGAATGGGATTGGTCCCAGTCACTCAGGCTCACTCTTACACTTCCAGCAACATACTGTTTTCCAAATCAAAGGAAAGTGGAACGCTAACACACCTATAGCAGTCCTTTTCCCACAGTTCGAAGACCTGATCAAGTTGCTATCTTTAGCTCCCTCTTGCTTTCTAGCAGATGTAGAGATAAGGGAATGAATCATCATGGGGTTATAAGCAAAAGTTACTGGCACCAATAATTACCTTATGAAACTTCTATAAAATTTGTATTTTTACCAGACACCACGTCCCCCCACCCCCATCCCAAAAAAATATCTTCGGGTTGTCAGGCAAAGCTCTCCTTTCCCCAGCAGGGAGGAACGGAGGCACTCCCTTTTCAGGGTGGTGTTCGGAAAACAAGCCAATTGGTGCCCTGGAGCTCACTGATCTCCTTTTGCTCCTCCTCCATGCAATATAAAACGCTTGCAGAGAAAAAGGCTCGTTCCAGTTGCTGCTAGAAACCACCGCTTTCTTGCTGTATCTATTTTTATGCTGTTTTAGTGACAGGTTGCCCCCAGGATGGAGGCTCCAGCTTGAGGACGTGCCATCAACAACTGGTAAGCAGCCATGTCTCAGATCAGGTAAAGGAGCTTTGTGGATGATCCCCTCAATGAGCACTATAATGTAGTACAGTTTTTTCCATGGATACTTTTCAACCGTTTTCAAAACTGTTGCCAAATTGTTAACCGGCAGAAAATATTCTACTTGCCCCTGAATAAGTAGGGGCAGTATCTTGCCCTGATGCTTCGAGGGGAAAAGAAGGGGATTTGTTGTTGTTTTTTTACGAGAGTATGATGCAATTAATCTATGAGAAAAAGCTGCACATTTTCTGGCACTTAAATGAATTGATTTTAAATTCCCCACTTTGAATCAGGAATTATTAATTAGAAGTATTACTTTCCTCTAGGATCAATAAAGCTATGTACCTGTCACACCATAAGCATACTATTTTTTAACAAGAGAGACGTCGACAGTCAAAACTATCTTTAAAATAGCAAGATTCCTTCAAAGCCATTTTGTAGCGACAGACAGTCCCGTCTTTGGAGTTTGCCAAGAGCAAAACAGCTAAAACCTAATAACGCATCGGCTATTTTCAGAAACTTTTGCTGGGAGGGAAGGCTTAGTTTGCAGGCAACCCGCCTCACCTCAGGAAGGAGGAGGGGCTGATGCCAGACGTCTCCTCCCCCGGTTGAGGGAGGAGGGAACAGGAGAAAAAGGAAGAGCTCTGGCCTTCCGTGACCCGGTTAAGATAAAACCTCTGCTCGGGTTTCAGGCGCTTAGTTAACGAGTACGGGAGGAGTCGCCTCCGCTGCCTAAAGAAGCTCTCTCGCCGGGCGGTCGTTCGCTTTCTGCATTCCTCGGCCCTCCTGAGAAGAAGCGGACAGAGGCCCTTCCGCTTGCAGCTGCCGCAGCCGTAGAACCGGAGTCATGGTGAGGGGTTTGTAAGGAGCGCCCGTGTGGTACCTTGGCCCTTTCTGGGGACAGTGCAGTTAAAAGGCCACCGTGGTGTTTAATTAATGACTGGTGAGGCAAAGGTTTGGAGAGCGAGCGGGGAAAGCAAGTCTTACCTTTACGTCCAGATTTCGTCTGAATGTCGGCTAGTAGGGTTGGCGGGGGAATGCTCGGTAGGGCAAGGCTGATGTGGGATGAGATAGATATACTGAGATAATGGCGGTTCATTCTTCCCCAAATCAGCATGCTATAATAGTTCATAGATCCCGAGGATCCCTGGATGACCCGCGGGTTTTGTTAGACTCTTCTACACCTTTGCTGTCGTTTAACTGCTGTGCTGTGTCCTAAATATGGCAATGTAAATGGTGAGAGTCCTATTCCAACACATCAGGTGGCATCAAGTAGGATGTGGCAGTTGAATGATCAGATTCATTTGGAATCAAGGTTTGCTCTCAGTAAAGTGTATGGGTGGGTAATTGTCCAAGGGATAGCTTACTTCAGTTTGTCTTGAGTTTACACAACCCACAGCTACAAATGAAACATTTGTGCTTTATCTTAGTTGGTTGTGTGATTTAGACTTCAGTGCTTCAGTGAATTATCAAGAGTCCAGAAAAATGAACTGATTATAGTAAACGAAATTGAAAGTCAGTTCAGTATAATAATTGGTCAGAATATTCATGACTGGAAAGACATGGTAACAAAGGTTAGCCAATTGGGAGCTGAGACAGACTGGAGCCAGGGTATGTCTTAGACTGCAGCTTCTCATTCTGGGCAGAGAATTGAAACTGAAACTATGCAGAGAGAGTTTATGTGTTAAGCTCTCTGCTGTGCTCTGTGTGTGAACTTGTCTGCTGATCTGAGCTGGAGAACCATTGTTGGTATTGTAAATATACTTTATGTGTTATTATGAATATAAAGAAGTTAATGAATCAGTTATCTGTGGATTTGATTTTTGCAAGAAACTCTGACATAATTAAAAAGCTAGATTCAGGTCCATCAGCGTTTCACTAACTTGACTAGGTGAGACACTTTCTCTCAGCCCAATCTACTTTACAGGTTGTATTTTATTGTCTGCCCATTGCAAATAGAGATCTGAAGCTGAGAGTGATCTGAGTAGATTTAATTTTCCTTATTCTGCTTTGAACTTTTTAATGGGTTTTCTTAGGCAACTTTCTCACTGAACCTAATTCTAATTTACAATCTCTATATAAATCTCTACCTGCCTTGATTTTTCTTACTTACCGTATATAAACAGTATGAATCAAAATTCTTAGAGGTAAGCTTCCCAGTTTATGGATCAAAGTGAATTATTCTTTGTTCACTTCCATATACACACATAAAGCTTTACAAAGCAACCAATACTTGGCAGATGTTGGGGAAACATTTTTAACAAACATATTGGAGTTTGTAGAAAGAGGGCTAAACATTTATGTTTATTTTAATTTTGTGAAAGAGGCCAAACTTTTTTTTTTTTTTTTGCTATTCCAGAGCTGCCATAATTTAGACTATGAACATTGACTTGAACAATTGTGTTTGCATTCCCTTACTAATTTGCTACAGGGAGCTCACTTTATTACATGGTGTTCCTGCTTTTTCAGCATTCCAAATTGGTCACAAGTTATGATAATCTTATGGCAGATTTCAAAATGAAAGGACGGGGAATAGAAACATGGAAATTCCCTTATTTTGCTATTTTTACCTCTTGTTGCATGCATCTTAATTGTGGACATATTTTTATATACATTTTATGTATTTAAGTTTTTATAATTTTTATCAACTGTAAAAATGGTACTTATGTTCTAAAATATAATTAAGTGCTGTGCATACTATATCTGTCTCAAGGTACCTGAGTTGCAGAAAATAACTGTCCGGATGAAGAATCCTGAACATGTAAAAAATATAGTTTCAGCACTCAGGAAAGGCGGAGCATCAAGACTCCAGGTATGTAACTCTTTTTTAAAATCTTAGTTTCTTTCCCACTTCTTTTCAGGATGTCTGTTTATTCCAACAATTTCACCAGTATAAAACATTGGTAGACAGGCAGGAACCAAACTAAATGTAACTTAAAATTAATTACAGTTAATATTGAATGTTGCATCAAAACTTTTGTAGAATAAGTTGTAAACCCCTGATTTAGAGACCTAATTCTTAAATTGCTCTGTCGTATGGTGATGTAGGATGCCACCTGAACACAATATTCCTTGGTAAATTACTAAGTCTTCTTTTCTGTTCAATCCAGGTCATTTCTGATTTTGACATGACTCTTACTCGGTTTGGCTTCAATGGGAAGCGCTGTCCTACTTCGCACAGTGAGTGTAATTTCTGGCCTTTTTTAATTGTCAATTCTCTTTTTAAAAAAAAATATTTTTCTCCTTGATGGTTTCTTTTCTTTTTTTCTTGGTGTTTTCTCATATTTTTGTCTTCTGTCTCATTGTTTACAAGATGGCTTGTAAAAACTTCTCAAATTATTTTTTTCTTATGTTTTTCTTCCTATTGCTCCTGGTCTTTAAGCCATTTTTAAGTAAGTCATTGATACAGTGTATATGTGAGTATATTCACATGATATATTAACCCCAATCTAATTGTAATTATAATTTGGCTAATCTAAGATAACTATAACCAGACTAATCCAGGTTTTAATGGTTAAGCACCATTTTAGAAATAGTGAAATAGTGCTCTGAAATAGTACTTTATTTTACAAATGCATAAATATTTTTTAACCATAATGCCTTATTGGAGTCAAAGGACTTAGGACAGACAGGGGTGTGACTAAGCCTTGTTCAGGCTATTTTGTACCTCCATATTACTCACATTTGGAGTGTAAAAAAGAAATGAAAAAAAAGAAAAGAAAAGAGATCATGTGATCCTTTAGTTATTCCAGTCTTTTTCTTGCCTATTTCTAAGGTAGAAGGGAGAATTCTCTTTGCCCATCTAAGTTGAAATAATATTTTGAAATATGGTTTTAGCTTAATGAATTTAATGACAAACTACATTTTAAAGTTGTGATTAAGGCACTCTTTCTTAACCAGGATGTAATTCTTGATTCATAGAACACATTCAATTTAATATAATCTAATTGTTGTTTCAACATAATCTAAAATAGTTATGATTTAAATATTTCATGAATAATAAGTGTGGGAAGATACAATTTCACAAAGTGAGAAGCACTGCTATCAGTAAGGAAAATAACAAACTGTTAGGCAACTTTGCATGTATAAATAATTTACACAGGTCTAAAGTACTACTCTCTGGCACTCTTGTCTAATCTTTGTTTTCAAGTAGGAAGTATATACAATTTTCATACTTATTTTTTACAGGCTCAGAAACTAGAAACATGCTTTTTTATAATAAATATAGATAGTTTTTTAAAATTCAGTTATATTTTTTTAAATTACTAGATTTTATGCCCGAGTTAAAATTCTGGTTTTGCATAGTACATAGCCACATGCATATTATTATTCATTTGCATTAATCCTTTTTATTTGAAAGAACATGCTTTTAAAACACCACATGTTCAAAATAAATTTAGACTCAGCATTACTGTGTATAAGAGTTTCCAGAAATCTGCTTGTATCTCTTCAGATATCATAGATAATTGCCGGGTCATCAGTGAAGAAGGCAGAAAAAAGGTATGAGCTTCTAGGAATTCTTTAGCAAATATCCAAATTAAAATCCAAACTTACATTCACATTTCATGTCCTGCTATCAGGAACCCTAGGAATTAAAATTTTGTGACTTTAGGCTTTTTTAGCTAGAGAAAATATTTCACTGTTTTAATGCATGAGGCTTTCTTTGAAGACTGGAAACTTCAAGTATTAAGAATTCAACTGCTAAAAGAGTATATTGGAGCAGTTCACTTTCTTTCCATTTTTATATCAAGTTTGGAAAATGGGAGTCAGTTTTTTAAAGCTTCAGCGAATTTGGAATCAGTAGATGTGAAGGTGACTGCTGATACTTACGAGAATCATCATGTAACTTAAAATCAGCTTTGGAGATTCCAGTTTTGCCTGCTAGTAAATGTTATTAAAATGGAAAGTGCCAGAGATTAAGCCTTTTCAGCAGTGGCCAATCTATTGACATTATTGTTCCATGTAATTACATAGAGAAAGGTAACACCAGTGTTCCAATTTTAAAACTCCTTATAATTCAGTGCTATTTATCAGCTTTGAAAATCTGTTTTTTCTTTGAACAAATGTGTTGATTCTGCCCAATATTGCAGCTGAAAGATTTACTCCATTATTACTATCCTATTGAAATTGACCCTTATCGGACTATGGAGGACAAACTCCCCCTCATGATAGAATGGTGAGTATTGAACGAAAGAAGATTATTCTGTTTGATATCCCAAAACAATTTGCAGGCTGGAATAGGGAGGGCGGGTGTTGGTTGCTTAGAAGGTGGGTGAATTAGCTCATCTGACAAGAGCTCCCAACACTGATATTTTCCAGGTGGACTAAAGCCCATAACCTCCTGTCCCAGGAAAAGATTCTGAAGAATGATATTGCCCAAATAGTGAAAGAATCAGACGTTAAACTCAGGTATGAGGTTTGCATGTTGGATACAAAATCAATTCAAGAGAGAGGTAAATTATCCAAGCATAATTATAATTATTTCTTCTTGGTATCAAATATTCTCAAGTTATGTGAAGATGGGATTCTGCATATGGAATTAAATATAAAAACTGGCCCAAAGTTTTAAGGTTTAATATTGCACACTTAATAGTGCTTTTTGTTTGCATGTTCTTTTTCACCCGAAGCAAATCTGTTGATACATAATCATGTCAACTTGATTAGAGTCAGTAACTATGGTACCAGAAACCATAAAGAAGGAAAAAGTAAATAGGGTTCAGAATGTTTTTCAGTTACAGAAGCAGAATGTCAGACACAGTCATAATAGTATGTGTTTGAAGTTTTGGAGCTCTTCACATGCATATATTTTAATAATTCTATTAGTAAATGTATAATAAAGCCCACCTTTATTTTCCTGAGATAAAAAACTGAAGAGGCCATTATGTGAAGAGGCCATTAGATTGGCTGTTCTAATGACCTCTTCACATGATGAATGCTGGTGATCAGGGTGGATTTGATTTAAATCGTAGTTTTCTGCATAAAGACTAATTCTTGCTGATATAACTTTAATATACAAGTAGATGAAGATTTTTAGAATAACAACTTTTCATATTAGTTTTTTTATCCCCAGTTTAATAGGTTAATCATTCATATTTGGACAACTTTTCTGTTGTACTTAGGAAGGAGAAAAATAATCATTACCTTAATAATAACAATTTAAATAGATTTATTCAACTGAAACAATAACATTACAGCATATGTTATTTGCTTAAACAAACATCCATGTTTGTTAACTAATTTGGCTAAACAATATATATATATTTTAAGAAACTTAGACTGTCAGCCCAGCCTATACAGGAAAAACTTAAATACTGTCCTCTGTAGCTCACTCGTCATCTTCATCTTCTTCTTTGTTCATAATCTGGAAAAGAAAAACAAGCTTTCCTGCTTTATCGGGTCCCAAACGATTTCTCAATTTAGAATGAATGAGTCCAAAGGAAGAGAATATTCTTTCAATGCCTGCAGAAGAAGCTACTGCTGTTAAAAGTGAAATCATTACTTGAACAGTCTCTAAATCCAAGGGCTTAAGTGACTTCCACCAGTTCACTGGTGTGACTTTCTTTAAAATATCTTCAGCAAACACATATTTCTTGAATGGTTCCCCCTTAGCTTTGAAGTTTATTATAGTTGGCATTACAGATGGATGATTGCTGGATACCCATGTCATAACTAGCTCCTCTTCCTCAGCACTTAAGTTTTGACCCTGACACTGGATATTGACAATATTTGCCAAAAAAATGAACTGGAGACAGTACTTGTCCCATTCGTTTTTTTAATGCTTGTAATTTAATTCTGTCTATGTGTAGTTCTGTTTTTAAGTGTTCAGTCAGTTCCTTCCAAATTTCAACAGCATCAGCAATAAAACAGCTATTTTTCTGTATTTTGTTTAAAGCTTCAGAGATGGGTTTCAGGATGCTCAGCATATGTTCAACATTTCTCTTAAGCCCAATGTTGAGGATTTTGGCCATGACAGTGCCATCTATTTTATCTCGATTTTCTTCACAAACTGTCATCAGAATAGGCCAGTTTTTGATATACTGCTCAAAACAGTCCACCACAGAGTTCCATCTAACATCCTGTGGGAGTGTTAGCTTGGTTCCACCCATCCTTTTCAGAGCTGCTGCAGGAAAATGATTGTTACGGAAGTATTTAGCAATTTCAACAACATTAGTCTTTATTTCTGGAACACTTAAGTCTTTGGCTAAGAGGTGCAGCAAATGAGCACTGCAACCATATGTTATTAGCTTTGTATTCCCTTCCTGCTCTTCTAAATTTCTTCTCATCTTGGATACATTTGCAGCATTGTCTGTGACCAAACTGTGTACTAGACATTTGAATTTTTGTTCATATGTTATTATAGCTTTTACTGCCACTTCTTGTAAGTATTCTGCTGTGTGTGCATTTCCTGACGTATTAATTGTTTGTGCAAGGAAGACTTTCCCTTCTTCTGTTGTTATACAAGCACATACAGTAGGATCATTGTGGACATTACTCCACCCATCAATACTTAAGTTAACAATTCTACCTCCAGAGCTGTTGCACATTGCTCCATTTCTCTGTCATACACTGTATCCAGCAGTTTCCCTGCAACATCTGCTCTGCTGGGTGGACTGTATCCTGGTCTCAGTGACTGAACCATATTAATGAAATGTGGGTTCTCAGTCAGATGGAAAGAAGAGTTTGTTGCATAAGCAAACTGGGCAATTTTTTCATCAATTAACTCTCTTTCTAATCTGCTAGTTTTTATCACAAACTTATCTATGGTGGTTCCAGGAGGGAAAGATTTTTTCTTTCTTTTAGGTGATAGTGATATGTGGCTGTGGGTGTCTGATGATGATGATGCTAATGAAGCACTATCCTGGATGGATAACTCTGAAACTGTAGAACAGGAGGATGGTGATCTTGAAGGTGGATAGTTTCCAGAATCCATGAATTCCCCTAAACAAAAAAGTCAATGCTGTTATTTTATTGTTTATACAATTTCTGCTTATTGTACACAGCACTGCCCCAAAAGGAATATTTGCTTTTCTTCATAACTGTACCAAATGACAATAACATGCAGTAATAATAAGAAATATAATTTTGCTCAAACATGACAGTTCAAGGCAGTCTTTAGAAATATGATTCAATAAAAATGTTTACCAACCTGAAGATCCTGCCTGTTCAAATATGTTTCTTTGGTCATCTTCATCACAGCACTTCTCATGATGTTGCCTCATTTGAGCCACCACGCCTTGCATTTCTTTGTTGCAGTGTTTGCAGTTTGCACGCATGCCTGCCTTACCGATAGGTAAAGGAACTTCATTAAAATATTGCCAAACTGGGTCTCTTTTACGGCCTGCTGCCATTATAGGTTTTTTCATCCAAGGAAAGAATGTGATAAACCTCAGGTCATACACACAAAAAGATCCAAAGACTTGTCTGTCTGTGGCTGTGCAGTATTGTGCTCAGAAAATTTCACTTTCATTTTGTACTGCTTGTCTGCTTGCCCCTTCCTCCTCACACTTAATTTAACTTTCTTCTTGTGCAGATCTATTCCACTCCAAATAACCAGAAAAATATTGTTTCTATTCTATTCACTGAATTTCTTGAAACTTAGCATGAAGGGGTTGATTCTGTATTCATAGGTTTGTAGAACAATAGGATTAAGGTCTTTTCTCAACTCTGTTAATGGTATAACATTTTTGCTGTGAAGAAGAGGCATGTGATCTCTGCTGAGTCAAATTCAGTTTTGAGAACTGCAAAAGTAAACCAAGCATCTGTGATAATATCTTGTAGGCAGAGAAACTGCCCAATAATCCTACAAAAACCTCTGGAAGAGCATGACATTGTGAATGGATTAATGGAATTTATTTACCAAAAAAATTAAACATATACAGCCTTATTCTACATAATTAAAAAACTAATTTTTATTTCATGATGGAATAACCTTTGGATGGTAATATATTTTCCTCAAAAAGCATTTTATTTAAAAAAATCCGATTTAAACAAAAAAAAATCCGATTTAAATCAAAAAAATCTGATTTTTTTGATTTTTATCCACCCTGCTGGTGATGCAAAGATAATTAAATGCATATTTCAATGAAACATGTCACATTTAGCCAAAGATCTGGAAATAGTACAGGTAATCCTTGACTTATTAATTAATAGATTTCTATCCTGCCTTTATTACTTAATAGGTAATTCGAGGCAGCAAACATATTAATGTTCCTCTCTCTTCCTATTTTCCCAAAACAACCACCCAGTGAAGGGGATTGGGCTGAGAGAAAGTGACTGGCCCCAAATCATCCAGCCAGCTTTCATGCCCAAGACAGGACTAGAACTCTCAGTCTCCTGGTTTCTATGCCAACATCTTTATCACTAGGTAAAACTGGTTCTCTTACGATCAAAATTGGGACTGGAGCATCTATTGCCAAGCAATATGGTTGTTAAGTGAGTCGCACCCAATTATATCTTTTTTACTGTGATCAATAAGCAAATCACTGTGGTTGTTAAGCAAATCCAGCTTCTCCCATTGCTTGTTGGAAACCCTCTAGGAAAGTTGTAAATGGTGAGCATGTGACCCCAGTGCTGCAAGTACCATAAATACACAATGGTTACCAAGTACCTGGATTTTGAAGACATGATTGCCAAGATACTATGATGGCTGTAAATATGAGAATCATTTATAAGTCATTTTTTTTTCCAGTGCTGTCATAACTTTGGACAGTCAATAAACCAATGGTTGGAAGTTGAGAACTATCTATAGTAAGGTTTCCTACCCAGCATGAACTTGCATGTCAAGAAAAGGATTTGCTACCATCTGATGTTTATGTGCATGGGGGCCACGGTTGATAGAACTGTAAGCCAATGTTTAAATCATCCACCCAAAGTGTACATTTAAATAATGGATTTAAATTATAAATTTGACATTTCATACTAAGCAATCAATTTATTCACTGGAACTATTACAATTAAGGACGTGTGTGCTACCTAGAAAGCTATACTTTGTATAAATACAGATTTGACAATTTTATATATTTTAGGAAATCACATGCTATTTTAATTTTTAGCTAACAGTCAAAAGCTTTTGTCTTTTTCAATCTGAGATCCTTATTTGTTCCAAGAAACTGATAAGTAAGTGGACAAGTTCACTGTTTACTGTTGATAATATAAAAAGGACATTTTTTTTTCTGTCAGTACTTGTGTGCTTCAGAAAATCATTGCCATTTTGAGCTAATCTATTAGAAACATTGGGACTTTGCCGATGCCCTTTAAATATATAACAACAGTAACAGTAGGAAGGGACGTTGGAGATCATCTAGTCCAACCCCCTGTTCAGCAGGAGACCTATGCTAGGGGTTCGAACCAACGAATTTCCGACTTTTCTAATCGATAAGCTCAGCCACTGAGCCACCTAGCCAGGTCCTCATATATATGCCCATGTTTCACAACATTAGCTTAATGTTGTCTTTCTCTTCCTTCTTGCACTTAGGGATGGCTTCAACATTTTCTTTGACCAGCTGCATGAGAACAAAGTTCCCCTGTTCATCTTTTCAGCAGGTGTAGGTGATGTGCTAGAGGAAATAATTCATCAGGCCGGTGTATTCCACCCTAACATCAATGTGGTCTCCAATTATATGGACTTTGATGATAATGTGAGTTGAATCATCTCTTTTTGCCCACTTCATCTCCTCTGACCTGGAAGCATTCCAAGGATTCTGCTATTTTGCCCTGATGGGAGTATCTTCAAAATGCTTCCTGTAGAATCAGAGGTGGTGTTAAGAGGGCAAGATATAACAAACTTCCAGGCTTTGCCACAATGTACAGAATTTTGAATACTACAGTTACAATAAATATCTTAGGGACTTGGATCTAATTTTTTTCAAAGTAGTAAAAACTTGGGTTATGCTGTGCTGTTTTGGTTGTAGAGGTTATGACTTGTCCTTTATTAAAAATATTCTATGTAGAAAAGCAGAAGATACGGGAAGGACATGGTGCATCTTTTCTCTCCATATTCTTTTCCTGTGTGAGAAGTTTGTGTATGAAATAGCATTTGCTCATATGACTGATCACCTGCAATCTGAAAGATCTTGGTTTATTTATTGTCATGGAGAAGAATAACATAGAAATAAAAATATATATAGTTTGAACATATTTAAATATTCAAGCTTTCTGTCCAAAGCAGAACAGTTATGAATAGATCAATTTACAACAGTTTGTTTAGTAACTGTTTGAAGTTACTACAGCACTGAAAAAAGTGACTTATGACAGTTTTTACACTTGCAACAGTTGTAGCATCTCCATGGTCATGTAATCAAAATTAAAACACTTAGCAACTGACTTGTATTTATCATAGTTGCGGTGTCCTGGTATCACATGATCACCTTTTGCAACCTTCTGCTAAGCAAAGACAAAAGGAAAATCAGTTTTCACCTAACAACTATGTTACTAATTTAGCAATTGCAGTGATTCACTTAACACTGATGGCAAGAAAGATTGTAATATGGGGCAAAACTCAACTGTCTCACTTGGCAACAAATTTTGCCAAACCACTCAATTGTGGTCGTAAGTTGAGGACTACCTCTATGAGAGCGAGGTTCAAAGTTGACTCAGCCTTCCATCCTTCCAAGATTGATAAAATGAGGACACAGATTGTTGGGGGCAATATGATGACTCTGTGAACAGCTTAGAGAGGGCTGTAAAGCATTATGAAGTGGTATATAAGTCTGTTGCTATCCACAACAAATGCTGTTGCTATCCACAAGAAGTATCTTATATTCCAGTGATGGCAAACCTTTTAGGCACAGAGAGGCCAAACCAGAAGGCACGCACATGCATACCAGAGCACCTGAAACCTGACAACCAGAAACCCAATGACCAGCTGGCTGAGCTGGGGTGATGACGCGCGTGCCCACAGAGACAGCTCTGCATGCCACCTCTGGCATGTGTGCCATAGATTTGCCATCATGGTTATATTCTTTTCAAGTTCAGTATTCTTGAGGTTAGAATAGGAATAGAATAGAATAGAATAGAATAGAATAGAATAGAATAGAATAGAATAGAATAGAATAACAGAGTTGGAAGGGACCTTGGAGGTCTTCTAGTCCAACCCCCTGCCCAGGCAGGAAACCCTATACCACTTCAGACAAATGGTTATCCAACATCTTCTTAAAAATTTCCAGTGTTGGAGCATTCACAACTTCTGCAGGCAAGTTGTTCCACTTATTAATTGTTCTGTCAGGAAATTTCTCCTTAGTTCTAAATTGCTTCTCTCCTTGATTAGTTTCTACCCATTGCTTCTTGTTCTACCCTCAGGTGCTTTGAAGAATAGTTTGACTCCCTCTTCTTTGTGGCAACCCCTGAGATACTGGAACACTGCTATCATGTCTCCCCTAGTCCTTCTCTTCATTAAACTAGACATACCCAGTTCCTGCAACTGTTCTTCATGTTTTAGGCTCCAGTCTCCTAATCATCTCTGTTGCTCTTTTCTGCACTCTTTCTAGAGTCTCAACATCTTTTTTACATCGTGGCGACCAAAACTGAATGCAATATTCCAAGTGTGACATTATAAAGTAGTATTAACACTTCACGTGATCTTGATTCTATCCCTCTGTTTATTCAGCCCAGAACTGTGTTAGGTTTTTTGGCAGCTGCTGCACACTGCTGGCTCATATCTAAATGGTTGTCCACTAGGACTCCAAGATCCCTCTCACTTTGAGCAAGGTACCACATATACGGTACCTGTGCACTTTGTTTTTCTTCCCTAAATGTAGACCCTTGCTTTTTTCACTGTTGAATTTCATTTTGTTAGATAGTGCCCAATGTTCAAGTCTGTCAAGATCCTTCTGTATCTTGAGCCTATCTTCTGGAGTATTGGCTATTCCTGCCAGCTTGGTGTCATCGGCAAATTTGATGAGTTCCCCATTTATCCCCTCGTACAAGTCATTGATGAAGATGTTGAAGAGCACTGGGCCTAAAACAGAGCCCTGGGGTACTCCACTGCATACTTCCCTCCATGTAGATGCAGTTCCATTGAGGACTACACATTGAGTGCGGTTGGTCAGCCAGTTACGAATCCATCTGGTGGTGATGCTCTCTAACCCACATTTTTCTACTTTATCTAGTAGTAGGTTATGGTCTACTTTATCAAATGCTTTACTGAGGTCCAAGTAAATTATATTGACAGCATTCCTCTGGTCCACTAATTGTGTCATTTTGTCAAAGGTAGTTCAAATTATGTTTAGTAGAGCCATTTCTAAAATATATTAAGAATGCTCTTTTATGGAGATGGGCTTAATTTCCATGGAGGCTAGAGCTTGGGTTTTTTTTTAGCTTTTAGTTAAAATTAATTTTGCTTCCTAGAGATCTGGCTGCATCAATCCTTAGGGAAGTCTTTAATTCAATGTGGTTTGAGAGAATTATTATTAAAATCTTTTTTTTTATATAAAGAGGCTCTGCTGCTTAGGCTTTGAAAGCACCAAAAGTGTTCTCAAGCAGTGGATTTTAGATATGAACCTTCAGTTTAATCCAAGCCTGGTATTTAATGTTTTAATTTGGAAGATTATTCTTAAGAGAGTTGTGCCAGCCTCCTATTTATCACCTTTCCAATACCAAAATTCCACACTCTTTTTGATTCACAGAAGGTCTTCTAAACTGCATTTTGCCATTTTTGTGTTATAAACATTATGTTTGCCTTCAAAGGGCATTCTGCAAGGTTTCAAAGACCCTCTTATCCACATCTATAACAAGAACAACACAGTCCTGAAGAACACAGACTATTTCCAGCAACTGTGCACAAGAACAAATATCTTACTGCTTGGAGATTCCATGGGTGACCTCAGTATGGCAGATGGTGTTGCTGACATGGAGAATATCCTCCGGATTGGCTTTCTGAATGACAGGGTGAGTTGAGAGTATCTAGAGAGTATCTAAAACAGATGGTGAAAGCCCTGTGTGGAAGCAAAATAAGGCACCTATTTCAAGTAGAAGAGTTTGAATGCCATATATGATGGTTGGCTTGGGAGAGGTATGATAAGTTTCACTAGAAAGTAAGAGCTGTTTTCTCTTATCTTGTGTGCTTAATGTTGTTCCTGCCTTGTTGTTTTTTCCAGTCTTACAAATAAATAGGTTCTGCCTAAAGGGCAATAGTGTGAAGATGGAACAGCATCCATCTTCTCTAGGTCTCTAAGCTTTAATTTTATCTACCAGATGATAGTAAGTACTTGAAATATTAGCAGTAGAAATTAATAGGAGAAATAGCTAGATTTTTTATCTAGTTGTGATTTTTGATTAGAACAACCACAGTGACACATAATGTCTGCCAGCTTTTATGTTCTTCGGAACTTTTCATCAGGCAAGTTGTTACCAAAGAAAGGGGGGATAAAGAAAGAAACAAGATAGTTCAAAAGTTAGGCTACACTATGTTACACTATGAAGTAATTCTTCCAATTCAATTTTGAGGTGAGATTTTTAGCCATTTCTTGTGGCATTTCATACAAAGAAAATGTTCCACCGTAGTATTAGTATCTATAGAAACCACAGACTGCAGGTTTGTTAAGATTAATACTATAATTGCTATTTATACTTTGTCCCATGCAGGTGGAAGAACGGCGGGAAAAATACATTGAGGCTTATGATATTGTATTGGAGAAAGATGAAACATTGGATGTGGTAAATGGTATTTTACACTTCATCCTTGCCCAAACTCTATATACACTCCCGTAACTCTTGACAACTAGTTTCCTTTTGGACTATTCCCATCAGTGTTCTTTAACATTTCCATAATCATAGAATAGGGCCCAGCTAGCATTAATCTTATTTTTACATCTATTATATAGCTAATTAAAATGGCATCACAATTGTACCAAGATATCTACTAATTTAGCAGACAACTTTTTCTTGGCCGAATCAGACTCATTTGACTAATTAAATATTCTTAAAAGCACAGTTTGGGAGTGATATTGATTAGACTTATCTATTGTCACTCCCTGTCTCTTCTAAAGTAGAAATTAATGGTAATAATATGGTATAGTCCACTTTAAGATACATTGCAGTTATTGAAATAATCTTAATGTGGGAAACAATTTAATATTATTGGTGATGCTATTTTAATGCAAATGACTTGTGGAATGTGGATTGAAGGGCTTTCTGGGTGAATAGCTTTGTTGGAATCCTATGTATTTGGGCATGTTCTAAATTGAACATGTGAGTGAATTTAGATGCCGGATGTAATGTAAACTATCTTTAAAATAAGATTAATACATATTGGCCCTAGTAGTTATTGAGCTTTTTCTAATGAAAACTAACATGTATAACAAATAAGTTTAACCCTGATAATTAAAATGTGTGCATAACTTAAGGATTTTTGTTTGATTTGTATGCAAACTTTTGGATTTCAGATGTTCTGTATTTTGGTTTCATGAAACATTTATTTTCCAAAACGTTTTTGAACTATATATGATCCAAATACAGCTTTTCCACAAAATTTTCAACATTTTTTTATTTAAAAGACATGTAAATATAATAAAAAAATGTCTTATTATGAACATTTTAGTATGCCTATTTTATTTTGTTTCATCTGCTTTAATTGAACCAATTTTTTAAGTTACCACAGCAGCACTGACTTCAACATGCTACAATTTTTTAAAAACAATTGTAATTTTTAAAAAACCTATTCAGACTTGCTTAAGTCCAAAGGCACATACCTTAGTAGTGTGTTCGCTGATTTCAATCATTAACATTATGGTTTATTCAAAAGAATTCTAGATACTGTACATTTCTGAATGTTCTCTTCAGTAAAAGATAATGGGTCCTAGACTACTTTTAGGTGGGTGAAACACAAGAGACATTTTAATTTTGCATCCTCTATGTGATGATAAGTATTTGTTCCATTGGTGACTTAAGTGCTTTCAAAATATGTGATGCTATGTTAGGACTTTCTTGAATGACTTGATGTACAACTTGAAGTGCATGAGAGAAAATCAGTTACTCAGATAGAAAAAGGCATGAGAACTGAAATCCATATATTTCTATAAGACACCAGCTTGGAGAAATTGTGAGTGTCAATGCACCTGTCTCTATATTGTGTGCAAACACTACAAATAGGACTTGTGTGTTTTGTCCTTCAAAAAAAAAAATCTTACAAGTCAATATAATTATAAAGCAACTATTGCATGTTACTTTCAAAAATTTTAATGATTCAGTTGAAACATGTACTTCAGTATCTCAGACATGGATGTGCCCAGGTTTTCTTAACTTACTTTGGCCTTCCTATTAGTACTTTTTATTATACAGCTGTACTGGGGGTTGGAGTGAGGTTGGGTGCTGATGTAACTAGCTGATATCAAATTAAGACTAACATCCTCTTGACTGACAAAGTCACTGATGTTAACAGACCAATTGCCTGCCATAAAAGTACATTATTTGTACCAGCCAATTTTTTATGGTGAACTGATTGTTTCAAGAATTTTAATAGTTAAAGAATTTTAAGTTTATCAGTTAATCAGATCCCCATTAGGGAAAAAATACAACTAAAGCTGGTTTAAGGAAAGTAAATTATGGTCATGCCCATCTGATCAGGACACTGGATTTTCAAGATTAGTATTGATCCAACAATCCTGTCCTTTAACAGCAGTAACAGAAATTCAAAGATAAAATCATGAGAAAAGACTGTTTTCTCAATTAAATCCTTTTAAGCATTGTGCAGGAATAATTTTTTTTAAAAAATGCTTACTTATTCTAATTTATACAAAAAAGAAAAAAAATAATTTTGGTTGTGTTTGCCTTGAAAACCTAAAAGTAGTTAGTGAATACAGAGTGTCTTGATACTGCTATTTGGCTCCAATAAGCCAATCTGGGTTTCCTGATAAGTGAATTCAACCTTGATTTGGACAGTTGAATGCACAGATCCCAAGCAGAATGTCTGTTTTAATGTCATGATTTCTGGGCAAGACAATGTGCTATAATTGGGAAAAACTACAGAATTCAATTGAGATGGAATAATTAGTTTCAGGAAGGATATGCAACCAGTGAATTGGGAGATTTATCATCATTCATTTAGTCCACTGGGTTTTGTTTCATTTAACTCATTTCCAATAATATACAGTCAAAGCAAAACCAAATGAGGGGGGGGGGAAAACTACTGGCTTCCTATATCCAGTCTAGCAGTGATTGGGGGCCAATTTGCTCCCCCAAATAGGGAAAGAACCATCAAATGGGAGCATTTTTAAAAAAGGGATTCTTTATCATTCAAAGTTCCTCATGTTTAACTTGATCCTCATCTGACTTAAGCTTCAGTTCCTCTGCTGTGATCTTCCCATCCTTATTCCGGTCTTGATTCTGAAACATGTCTGTGATTACTTTTTCTGGGTCAATGCCTGGAATCATATGACCTTTGTCTTCTGCAACCTGGGACTTAATGAATGTGGAGAACTGTAGAATGGGCAATAGAAAAAAAGACAATAATAGATTATAATCTATCTAAACCCGTACCAGTCGGGCTTCAGGCAGGGGTACAGCACAGAAACCGCATTGGTCGCGTTGGTGGATGATCTCTGAAGGGCTCGGGACAGGGGTTGCTCCTCTGTCCTAGTCCTATTAGATCTCTCAGCGGCTTTTGATACCATCGACCATGGTATCATGCTGCAGCGATTGAGGGGGTTAGGAATAGGGGGCACTGTTTTGCGGTGGTTCTCCTCCTTCCTCTCTGACCGCTCGCAGTTCGTGTTGGCAGGGGGACAGAGGTCGACCTCGAGGCGTCTCGCATGGGGAGTGCCGCAAGGGTCGGTCCTCTCGCCCCTCCTGTTCAACATTTATGTGAAGCCACTGGGTGAGATCATCCGTGGTTTTGGGGTGAAGTGCCATCTGTACGCTGATGATACTCAGCTGTACATCTCCACCCCAGACCACCCTAACGATGCCCTTGATGTGATGTCTCACTGCCTGGAGGCCGTGCGGGTCTGGATGGGGAGGAACAGGCTCAGACTCAACCCCTCCAAGACCGAGTGGCTGTGGTTCTGGCGCCCCGATATAGTCAGCAGGTGCCATCGCTGACTTATGGGGATGAATCTTTGCCCCCCACGGAGAGGGCTCGTAATCTGGGTGTCCTCCTGGACGCGCGGCTGTCTTTAGAAGAGCATATGATGGCCGTGGCCAGGGGGGTCTTTTATCAGGTTCGCCTGATTCGCCAGTTGCAGCCCTTTCTGGATCGGGACGCCCTGCGCACGGTCACTCATGCCCTTGTTACTTCCCGGTTGGACTATTGTAATGCTCTCTACATGGGGCTCCCCTTGAAGAGCACTCGGAGGCTCCAACTGGTCCAGAATGCGGCCGCACGGGTGGTTATGGGCGCAACTCGTTGTGCCCATGTGACACCCCTCCTGCGCGAGCTGCACTGGCTCCCAGTGGTCTTCCAGGTGCGATTCAAGGTGTTGGTTACCACCTTTAAAGCGCTCCATGGCATAGGACCCGGGTACCTCCGAGACCGTCTTCTGCCATCAATAGCCTCCCACCGACCAGTTCGCTCCCACAGAGAGGGTCTCCTCCAGGTGCCATCGGCGAAGTTATGTCAGCTGGCGACACCCAGGGGGAGGGCCTTCTCTGTGGGAGCCCCAGCCCTGTGGAACGAACTGCCCTCAGAAATATGTAAGATCTCCGACCTCCGGGTGTTTCGCTGCGCACTGAAGACCCTGTTGTTCCGCCAGGCCGGACTATCAACATAATAGTTTTAAATTGGGGTATTTAAATTTTTGGGGTTTTAAATCTGAGCCAATTTATTTAATTATTTTAAATTTTAAATTGCTGTTTTGTCTGTGTTTTTAAATAGGCTATACACCGCCCTGAGTCCTTCGGGAGAAGGGCGGTATAGAAATAAAATTATTATTACTATTTATTATTATTATTATTATTAATTATTTTTATTATTTTTATTATTATTATTATTATTATTATTATTATTATTATTATTATTATTTCTATAAATGGGTTCCCAGTATGTATAGCATTTCAAACAAAAAGATTTATTTCTGGCAATAATGCAGCTAGGATGAAATAATCAGTTTAATTAGATATTGATTTTACTCTATATACTGACTTGAGTGCCCTAATAAATTTTTCCCTCAATGTAAGTTTAATAACAATTCAGCTCAAATGTCAAATGCCTAGCTCAAACTAGGCAACATTTTAAGAGCCCCATCTCATATTAAGAAATGCCCCAACTATATGCATATTCTAGAAGTAAAAATCTTGTTGCTTTCTTTAGACCTTTCTTTTTTGCCAACATATGCATTCAAAGCACTAGGCCGGGTGTTGGCAACTTGCAGCTCCGGAGCTGCATGTGGCTCTTTGGCCCCTCTGCTGCGGCTCCCTGTCCCATCGCTGGCTGGCCCCGCCCTTCACCCTCCCCTCCCAGTCACTTCTTGCCTGGCCTGAGAAGGTAAAGGCAACGGCGGGGGAGTGGAGAAGCAGCTGGGGCTGATTCTCAGGCGCCTCATTCTTGCTGGAACTTCTTCCAGCCCTTGTTGGTGCTGGGCTTGCCTTGGCCGCTTGGGGAGATGCGCAACCTGTTCTCTGCCCTGAGATACTGGACCGACCTGGCCACGATTGATGCTGGCCTCACTAACACGAGGGCTGGCAGGATAGGAATGGGATCTGGGAGGATGGGACGACAGAAAGGGGGACGAGCTCACAGCACCCAGCCATGGCTTTAAGAACCTCAGGGCAGTGGGAAAAGGGGGCTGGCCCCGCCGAACCTTGCATGCCCACCCCGGGGGTCAGGAAAGCTGAGGCTGGGCCAAGCTGGCAAGCTCTCCTTGGGGCTCTTCACTACTCCTTTTCTTTCTTTCTTTTTGGAAATCTGGGCTGACTGAGGAACAAGCACGAACCGCAGCGGAGGCTTCCCTTTGGGCAACCCTCCTTCTCCTCTCCTTTGCTGCGCTTTGGCCAAGCCCACCTGCTTGCTTGTGGGTCTCCCCGCTCGTACACACACTCCCAGCCCCACCACAGCCAACCAAGGGGTCGCAAGAGGAGAAGGAGGGTTGCCCGAAGGGAAGCCTCCCCTGCAGTTCATGCTCGTTCCACACCCAGCCCAGATTTCCAAAAAGAAGGTGTAGCAAAGAGCCCCAATGAGAGCTTGCTGGGCTTTCCGAGAGAGTGAAAAGAGACACAGACACAGATACACACACACACACAACACCCACCCACCCACCCACCGAGATACAGAGAGGGGGAGATAGTCGGGGAGAGAGAGAGATACAGAGGGGGGAGAGTGAGGAGGAGGAGATAGAAAAGGGGGAGAGAGATACAGAGAGAGGGAGGGAAAAATACATAGAAGGAATGAGAGGGGAAGGGAGGGGGAGAGATACGGGGGGAGGGGGAGAGAGATACAGGGGGGGAAGAGACATACAGAGAGAGGGAGAGATACAGAGAGGGGAGACAGACATACAGAGGGGAGAGGGGAAGATAAGAGGGAGAGGGGGAAGAGAGACAGATACAGAGGGAGAAGGGAAGATAGAGGGAGACTGCGAGAGAGATATAAGAGAGGTACAGA